CTTCTTCGCCCTTAACCTGCAACGTTTGGTCTAAATGTCCTGCAGGTTAGGGAGAGGGGTTCTGATGGTCCGCTCTGCAGAACGGACCACCCTTTTTAGGGCCATGAAGTCCTGCCTGGTGCAGTTTCCCATCCAGGTGATGATGCTCCCACACAAGATGCTCTTGATGGTACAGGTGTAAAAGTTCCTGAGCACCTTGAGAGGGAGCTTAAAGTCTTTGAGGCGTCTGAGGAGGTAGAGACGCTGTCTGGCTTTCTTCACAGTGGTGTTCAGGTGATGAGTCCATGACAGGTCCTGTGAGATGGTCACTCCCAGGTATCTGAAATTGTCCACTCTTTCCACCTCAGAGCCACAGATAGTGAGTGGATGGAAGTCCCTCTGCTGTTTCCTGGTGAAGTCCACAATCAGTTCCTTAGTTTTGCTGACGTTCAGCAGGAGGTGGTTCTCCCGACACCAGTCCTCCAGGTGGGAGACCTCCCTCCTGTAGGCAGTCTCCTTGTCGTGGGAGATTAGTCCTACAACAGCGGTGTCGTCAGCAAACTTGATGATGATGTTGGAGTCTGACGTGGCCACGCAGTCCTGTGTGTACAGGGAATACAGCAGGGGGCTGAGCACACAACCCTGGGGGGATCCAGTGTTGAGAGTCAGGGGGGCTGAAGTGTAGTGACCCACTCGAACCACCTGTGGTCTGCCAGTCAGGAAGCTGTCGATCCACCGGTCTCTAGTTCTAAACTGGTCTTTAATTATTGGAAGTCATATCTGAAGATTAATAACATAGATTATAAACTAAACAGGGTTAGAGAGTAACAGATTACATGTATCTGAGTTATGTAATCAGGATAAACAAATAATAATAATACAAAAATTGATACAGTTAGAGAAAAAAATGTTATCAGATTACAGTTACATTTAGTAAAAATAAAATGTTTTAATCAGTTTTAATTGAGAAATACACTGAGAAGAGGACATATTTTTGATTCTAAAAATCTTTATATTTTTTTGTTTTTTCTATTACATTGTTCTGTTGCCTTATACACCTGCCTCAGTACTTCTTATTGACATTTCTTTTCTCTTGTTTTTATTTGCATATTTGGCGTTGAAGTAATCCAAAAGTAGTTGTGTTACTTTAATATTGTGTTATTTGGATTAGGTTTCAGACTACATTTTTTCTAACAGGTAACTGTATCAGATTACATTTATAAAATAACCCTCCCAACCCTGAAAATAAAGTAGAGTGTAAAAACCCAATCGAAGGCTGAGTAACATTATTCTGAAGAATAGTAAGTCACTGAATATATAGTACATTAGTAATAAATTACATTACATTAAAATTAAAAGAATTAAGTAGTAAAAAATTAAATCAAACAAAATTCTAAGCATAAAACAAAGATTACAATACATATCTGAAAAGTGATCAAATCTTCCCTAAAATGAAACTATAGCCTTAATAGGTTTACCAGTAAAGTATGACTCTCTTTTAAAATATGACAAATATGTTCACTGTCAGTAATGTCAGGATGTACAGCAAACCCAAACCAAACAACCCTGTCTGGGTTTGTCAGAGGAGAAGGTTAACTTCCTTCTGTTTGTAATGTCACTCAGCACAGCTGTCTGCCGGAAACTGCAAACGGGAATAAAACCAAACCAAACAGAATCAGCAGCTCTCACAGAAAAGAGTAAAATATATATGTGCCTCATACTGAGAAGAAGAAGAAGAAGAATAACTTTATTAACCTCCACTGGGGAACAATTCTTTTTTTACACACAAACATGCAAATGTGAAGTGATGGGCTGCCATGCAGGAAGCAGTTACGAGTGCCTTGCTCAGGGGGACCTCGGCAGTGGAGGAGGTGGAACTGGCACCTCTCCAGCTACCAGCCCACACTCCATACTATGGTCCATTGACGGAGCCGCTGTCTGTGGGATATAATGACTTCTTTTGAACCTGTGCAATCTTCACAATTCATGGACACAAAACTTTATAATGGCTCTTTTATTTAATGCTGAAAGGTGAACAAACACTCAAAAGGCCTGATAGAAGAAGCACTATTCTTTTGGAGCTTTTATTTTACTTTTGCTTTTCATAATGGCTGGCTTGAATGCCAAGTCACATGTGCTGCTATTGAATTTCAAATCTTGTTCTGAGTCATCACAAGAATCACAGACGTTATATTTGTGGGATATTAAAACCACAGCATTTTCTTTCATCACAATAGGAGGTTTATGAATGAGTAAATCAGCTCTTTACTTGTTTATTATCTGATCTAAATCACAACCACAGCACCTCCATATTGAACTGAATCAGTTCTACATGACTTCCTTTGAATGCATATCATCATTATTATGTTTCATCTGGAGAGAGACACAGAGAGAGGATGTTGAACCTCTGAAGTGGTTTCTGTATTAACAAGTAAACAAGTTAAGAGCGGATCGGCTGGGGTCCTGTAAGTCAACCACAGAATCAAACACTTTCTTGTTTCCAAACTTTGATGTCATTACACTTCCCCCCAATTAGTATGGAGCTACAACAGTACAAAACATGGCATCCCATCTGTTTGCATAGTCTGTCTGTGTTTGATCTGTTGTGTGAGTGCGTACGAGGGAGGAGGGGGGATACATTATGTTTTTTCTGGAACAAGTTGTAGCAGAATCCTCAGTCATGGGTGAAAAAAGATCGCTGCATTGTGCTTCAAGTCTCCAGAGAGGATTTTACATCCTGTGTGTGTGAGATGGCAGTTGATTAGGTTTCATTCTTTACAGGCCTCCTGACAGCCTGGATATTCAGCGACTGAATGAGGGTTCATACTTTGAACAAATTAAAGGACAGCTCGTGTCTGAAATCTAATACAGAGTATTTCGGTGCCGAGAAACTTGACTGTGGTGTAATTATTAACCCTCTTAACGAGCTGAATGTAAAGTGGAGCCCAGAGGAGCCGGGACTGCAGCCTTATCTATGACAAACGGCAGAGCATCCTAATTGCACTGAGAGATCTGACAGGATAAATTTATACCAGAAATGTGACTCATCTGACATTCTGGCAAGAGGCAGAGCACGGAGAGTCAATCCTGCTTTTTAAAAATTGATTTCTGTGTCACATAGATTCAGCAATATAACGCACACTAAAAATGACTGGGTCATAAGTGGCCACATTTTGGGTCAATATATGGCTTAACTCTACCCAGTATCCACTGGAAGCAAATCCCCATTATTTCTTATATTACTGTTGAGCAGTGGTGGAAGAAATATTCAGAATTGTTGTTATTAAAGAAAATGTTTTTCTTCATGTTCCTACAGTTGGATGTTTCACTGTGTATGTGCAGAGTTTGACACGAAAAGGATGTTTTCACATTCATGTCCTGAAAGTGGAAAATCTGATTTTAATGGCGGTGCCTACGAGCATGATTTGGTACATCACGAATAGTTTAGAAGTCAATCTTTTACAGTGACGTAGGAGACATCTTGTGTCCAACAGGAAAACTATAAAAATGAACATGATTCAGCACAGGAGTACATGCCTTTTTTAAAAGATTTTTTAGAATTTGAATGTGAAAATTAGACTTTTTTTTGCAGAAAACAAATAACATATCAGACACACATTATTGTTCCAAGCACATTATTTGTATACATGTCTTAATACATATCTGAAGGGGAAAAGTAAAGTAATAATTGGTATATACGTAAGTGCAGAAATGCTCTATAGCCTAATTGATGATAATAGGTCAGAATTTATTTGTTGAGCATATTTTGTATCAATAATCTAAATCTGTAAAGTCACTAATAACTAACAGAGTCGTTTAAATGTAGAGGACTACAGAGGACTGCTCGCGAATGTATCACCGGAGTAGAAGGAGCATAAAACGGAAATACTGAAGCACAAATACTTCAAACAGTATGGCGCTTGAGTAAATGTACTATTATTTACCAAATGGTTTATTTTTCTCAAGACTTTTTTAAACCTATTTGACACTGATTGTTAATTATGTGTTTGTAGCTTTGAATGCACATTATTTAATCTATCTATCTATCTATCTATCTATCTATCTATCTATCTATCTATCTATCTATCTATCTATCTATCTATCTATCTATCTATCTATCTATCTATCTATCTATCTATCTATCTATCTATCTAATATCTAACTACTGGGTCAAATAATGCCTTTGGTACTGGGCGAAGTTAACCTAGTGTTGCGTCAGTGCTATTGACCCAGTGATTTTTTAGTATGTGTACGTTCCCCTAGTTACTGGAAATGACAAAACACCGTTCACCACATTAAGAAATTGTGAAACAAGTGTAAGCTCCTCATTGGTGCAGATGATGACATGTGATAATAGGATTAGGAGGAAATTACCTCTGATATAAAAAGATTATGAGTGTGAGTGCATGTTCGGTGACAGCAGAAGGCATGATTAAACAGACAGATGTGGGTGAAAACATGCACACAAGTCTCATTAAAATATAACAACAAATATTAGCAGATCCCAGCGTGAAAACAGCCCCCTCTAAATCACATCCAGCTGCCTGTGGTGATTAGCTGAGGGTGTTAGAGCCATTTAAGAAGGGCAGGCATTTTGGGAGAGGCTCCGTTACAGGAGTGTGTGTCAACCAACAAGGTGACAGCAAGGAGGGAGCAGTCAACTCTGATCTTTTTATTGTAGAGCTGAATGAGGGCACATAATGATTTAACCTCATCCAGGAAGGAAAGATGTCCTTCTAGATCTGCTAGCAAAACGTAAAAGTGATCATCCACAAGATTGCAGGAATTCCTTACTAATCCAGATTTTTTGGAAAGATTTCCAGGTTGTCTGAGCTCCCGCTGGTATTGCCACCTCCCACACACCCCCACCTGCTTTGCCCTGGAGCCTTATCAGGATTCAGGAAGCATCTTCTGCAGGATTTATGTCTGTGGCAGGCAGCTCTCCTGTATTCTGACCCTCCCCTGCAATCTTCTGACTCGGAGACTGTCGCTCAGACAAAGACACAAATGCGAGCAGGAAATGAACAGCATCATCTTTTATTTCTTGATTAATTTGTCTTCTTGGCAGGTACAACAGAAACTAGTAAAACCATCAGGGGGCAAAATCATGTTTCAGACATTCAAAACAGGAAAACTCTTGATCAGATGTTGGAGCCGGTTCCCAGGAGTTTTAACACTTGTATATTAATGTCTGGTTACCAGCTGAGGTTTCTCCTTTGAATAATAAAAAATGAATGCACGCTCACATTTGATAAACAATGTTGATGTTTGGTTTGCCACTAAAAGAAATCATGAAAAAATGATAAGGCAAAAGTAAACCTCTCGTCCTAGAATAACCCTTAATGTAGCAGTGGACTGATGTGCAGCCGACCGAGCAACAAACATGATTTCAAACCAGACCATGTTTAAACTGGGCTCTAATATTCACAGCCATGCTTCACCAAGCCGCTTTTCTAATATAAGTGTGGCGGTTGGCAGCACCAGATGTACAGTAGAATACGAGAGGAGCCGTCCATAATGTGCGGCTGCTGGCTGATTGACAATCTTGATAAAACTTGTATTAGCTGTGCAGGATATTTCTCATCCATCCTTTTGTCATACAGCAGCTGAAACTGTAATTACATTTCAAAAGTGTGTAGCTCCAAAACACCAATTTTTTGGCTTGCAGCTGTTAAAACTGTAGCACAAATGAATGGCTGAAGTAGATAAGTAATATCTATTTTAATACCAGACTCGTGCCCCCAAACCTTTCGCTTAATGTTGATTAATTTCCAAGAAAATGTTGTATGAAGCAAAACTCAAGATAACACGTTGATTAGGGAAAATAGAGATAGAAAAACGCCCTAGATGCAAATGCGTAATCAGATTTTCTGAGAGCTACTCGTGATTAAAACATAAACATTTGCACAGTATCTGGAGTTGAAAAATACATTGCTTTGCCTCTGTTTACCTATTCAACCAAACAGACAAATAAAGGCTTCAGAGAGGAAATTCACCGATAAGAATAAAACCTCAGAAGAATAACAATTTCCAAAATGATATTTACATTTTATTTATGTTCTGATAACTAAATAGATCAGCCTATTACCTGGAAGATGGAGACAGGATTATCAGGCAATATCGAGTATGTTTTATATGAAAAGAAAAGAAAACAACAAAAAACAGTCGGATCAACACGATATTAATAATATGACAATATATCAAGAAGAATAGTACGTTGTCTTTTACATCACCTCTACATACTGGCGGTATTGTGCTTTGATAAGACTTTTGCAACTAGAACACAGATACAGAAAAAATTTAACAGCCCCACAAAACTCCAAGGATTTCAGCAATCAACTCTGCTAGAAAAAATTTCACCTCGCCTCATCCCACAGTCGAGATAAGAGTAAAGTTGAACGAAGACTCCTCAACCCATCGGGCACATGTGAAAATGATAACAAAAAAAAAAGGAAAGAAAGAAACGAACGGGTGAGAAATTAAATTAGGTGCAGCTCATCCATTTGCACAATCAAACACATGCTGTACTGGCTTGGGTACTAATGTTGGCACCCATGAACACATGTGAGCCCACACACGCACACACACGCGCACACACTGCATAGCTACACACATTAACAGAAATATATGGGATGTATCATCTTCCTTTTCCTGTATATCACTGAGGCAAACTTGGTAATTATAATATTTATACATATATATATTTAAAAAAAAAAAAAAATCTAAATTATAAATGAAATGAAAAAAAAACATGCACTGGACGAATACAAGCATGCATTTACATGATGAGACCTGAAATCATCACCAGTACATTTCAAATGGTAGATGATGCACCTCTACCACTACCACTGCCACCGCGACCCCCGCCCCCCACTCGAATAAACCTCCCGGCACTCCCGGCTACACTCATTGTGAACATAGATACATTCTCATGACGACACAGAGTCCAACTGTTATGGAGCACTGCAACAGTTACAGATGTTGCTACATGTACAGTGGAGTAAGCAGTATGAATATTTGTCCCACTAGCAGGCCGGTGTTGTGTGAAACCATTGTGTGTTGCTGTGTTATATAAAGGCATGGGGGCTCTTTTTTTCTGATCTGCTGTCTATGGTGAGATAACTGTACATTTTCCTTTGTTTATTTTTACTTTTTTTTGTCTTTTGAAAGAGAGGTCCGTGTTGGCAAGGTTTCTCCATGAGCATCCTTTGCGGCAGTATTCCAGAGGAAAAACACAGAGATAGAAGAGCTTAGAGTGCTGCATGAAATGTTCTCTGGAAAATTATCAGATATTTTAATATTTGGGATATCCTCTCCATTTTGCCGCAGGTGAAAGAACTTTCACCTGAGGCGTTTGTCGTGTTTGATTGGTCTGCTTTTACTCCGTTTCTATGTAAAAAGTGCCTCTGTTATATTCGTATCAGTTCCTCACACTCCCCGCGTTGGATAGTTCTTGTTGTATGGTTGGCTTTGGTTGCATAACACGCACTTTGATGCTCCACCCGGGTCTGCTCAGCAAGTGAAGTCTTCAAAGTTGGCCTGGCCCGGGTGATGAGGTAGCATGTTGCCAGGATATGTTGATGGTGTACGCAGGTTCTCGCAAGGAGCCTGAGAAAGAAATGAGGAGACAGAGAGAGAGAGAAATCAAAGAGGCAAGTGAGATAAAGTAGCGAGGAGGATAAAGACAGGAGAGAAATAATCAGGAGGAGAGGAAGTATTCAGATAAAAGGAGAGCAAACGCGCAGAGAGTCATCAAACCCAGAATAAAACAGAAAATAAAATGCATTTGAGAATACCTAAAGTCATAAACATGCTCTCAGAAAAACATGGCACGAGCATCAAGCTGGGCCAGGAGGTGAGAAGAAATAGTTTCCTAAGAAATACTAAAAAATGATGAAAATAATGAAGGTGGCTGGAAAGACTACCAAATAAGTCAGCAGAGCAGATCAGAGGAGGAGCACATCTTTACCCTTTTTCTCCGCCTTGGCGCAGACTTACAATTACAGTGCACTGGCTTCATTTACACTTGGAAATAAGTAAGCTGTCACACCTTCCAAAGCTCTAATTCCGGCCTGTCCCTGCTGGTCCTGTCCCCTAGCTTTGATTAAATTCAAGCCACTTTCCGCTCTCCTACTTCTCTCTCTCTCTCTCTCTCAATTTTCTCTCCCTCTCATCCCAATCACTTTTTTTCGCTCCCTTTTCTAGCTCTCAAGTCTTTCCCTCTCTAGCTTCCTCCGTCTTTATCTCTTCACTCTCTTGTTGACTCTTCCCCACCACCACCGTTTGGTCCTCCTTCACTCTGGCTGCGGTTGAGACAGTGAAGACAAAGAAGAGAGTGCTCCTGTCAAAGCAATGCAGTCTGACACAATGAAAGTACTTAGCAGCAGACTACTGACATGGCGTTTCACATCATCCAGGCTCAGCACAGCTCCCCGGTCATTGTTGTTGCGGCCTTTGTGTTTCTTCTTCACGCATCGGCACAGCTTGTACTTGATCACCTGCAAATAGGCGAGGACACCCATTACTGACCTTTTGGGATCAAAACACAATATTCAGAAAAAAAAAACTCCCTGCTTTTTTTTTTTTTTTTTCTTTACATAGTTCAAACCCACATGCTTTGAGTTTGAAGGATCAGGGAAACTGAAATTCAATTTCGATTTATTTTATGCATCTATAAATATGTTTACACATCGATCCTGTACATGAGCAGGTGCTCTGTTTCCCACACTCGTGCACACACACACACACACACACACACACACACACACACACACACACACACACCTAAAGTCAAGGACTGAGAGACACACACAAAAAGTCTCTCTGCATTGATGGTAGTAGGGAAGGCGTAGAGGAAGCAAGGAACACAGAGTTACTCTAATGAGAACGGACAGAGACATCCTGACTTATCTAAAATATAATACATCCAAAATGTTAATGTATTCAGTGTTGCTGCTGCCGCGATGTGTGTGTGTGTGTGTGTGTGTGTGTGTGTGTTGCACAGAGATAGGCTGGAGGGTTGTGAGGGACAGAGCGTTCGTCATGCTCGTTGAAACACGTCCTTGTGCGAATTGTAACATTGTGTGAAAAACTCCATCAAGTAATTCAATATTACTGGAGCAGTACACTTTTTGCACGCACGTTTGCATAAATAATACATTGCACTAGATGTTTTATCTAAGTGAGAGGCTCCCGGTGATGATGGGAGATATTTTACCTCATATAGATAGTCAAAGAGTTCAAGAATAGTGAGAATGCTGGCTCCGATGAAGAGACCCATCTGACCTCCAATATCACCTGGAAAGTAAAGTAAGAAAGCCCAAATTGTACCTCAATACAAAACAGAGAGGGGTGCATTCACATAAAACAGAGAACAGCTTTGAAACATACTTTTTTTTTTATCTCTCTTAATGTCATAGAGGTGAGATAACAGAAAACACAGATGTTTGCAAAAAAATGTAGTTGAAAAGCCAAAATAGATTAAAGAGACAGTTTTGTGTCTTCTGGGACCTGAACACCTATTATAAAAATGCAAGCACTTGTGTTACTGTCACTTTGGATAAAAAGCACCTGTCATATTGCATATTGCATATTATGTGTTCCCAAGAAAAGCACTTGACAGCCATTTCCTTACCCAGAAGGCCTGCCAATTCGTAGGCTTTCTTTTGTTCAATGGTTTCGTAGTTCAGCGCTTCAAAGTAGATATCCAGAACCAGAATGTTATCACTGTAAACAGAGAGAGAGAAGCACGTTGTCTTAAGTCACATATTCAAATGTGTCATTTTCTATTTTATAAATTTTTTATCAGTGTCCTCAGGCAGGGAAAATGACTGGTGAGTCTGCCACTTCCTGCAGATAACAGGGCAGATGCATCAAGTTGAGCAAATAACCTGCCGACTCACTTCCCCCCTAGGTGGGTCTGGTCATTGAGGAAAACAAGGGAAATGATGACAGCTGTTTGATTTCCTACTGTGCTAATGTCTAAAATTCTTGACCTCAGCAGAAAGCAAAAGAATGGGGATTAGTTTAAAGGCCCAGGGCACGGCAGACTATTATTTTGATTCCTGAATATCCTCTCTGTGGGACGAATCAGACTTCACGCCCCACTGGAGTTGAGATCAAAACCATAAGTTGGCTTTGTAGTTTCTTTTTTTTTTGTACTTGGTGCACTGTTTTATTACTTAAATTTCAGTCAGACAAGTGATAATCTGTCAGTCTTAAAAGGAACTCTGGTAAAGGCGACGGCTGAGTTGAAACGACTAAATGCAAATTACAGCTGATAATGCAGAGACGGAGATGTACTAATACAACAGCTGCTCGTTTCATGCTAAGTGTGGGAGATATACTTCCAGCTCCTGCAGTTTGACTGCACTAACTTTATTAAAAGCACATAAAACATAAATTGTAAACACGATGAAAAACAATCATTATACAACTTAACTCCCTGCCTGGTAATTTCGGTTAGCGGCTTTATTATCAGACATACACCCACAGCCGTGTCAGACGAGCTCAAGCACCCTTTCACAGACCTTTTTCCAGAGCAGACATTTTGACTTATTACTGCAGGAAAAGCACAGGTGGAACCACATAAATTAACAATGGCTTTGTTTAATTAAGTGCAGCAGGAAGCCATTCCAGTGAGCCAGCAGGTAGAATACCAGGACCCTGGATTTGGCTCAGCTAAATGGAATGCAGCCTTCATTAATTCTAATTACATCTGTTGCATCTGCATTAAATGTTATAAATGTGTTGGTTTGAATGAATGTAAAACTGGATTTTCTTTAACACTATCAATGATATAAAAGTGGATACAATAATAAGGTTAAGAACTATTTTTGTTCATCTGTTTCTTTTTAAAGTGTTTATCTAGTTTTAGCTGATTATTAAACCATTCATCCATATTCTTTAGGCTGTTTATCAAGTGGCAACCTACGTGGCTGGCAAATGAAGCCAACACCAAAGTAACAAAAAGTGCACTTCCTCGAATGTCATGGAGACAATATACTGTATCAAGAGATCTCTTGCTTCAATAACTACAGCATTTTAACCATTTCTTCATTATGTTTAGCTCAATGTTTGAACTGTACTGTTACTTTAGCTAAATATTTATTTTTGTTTCGCTATATATTTCAGCTATCCATCTTATACTTTTAAACTAAACATTTAGACTTCTCTGCTTGCATTCACACATAGTATTTAGGTAAGGATATATTTTAAATCAAATTGCAGTTTCTAATTTTTTAATGAGTTTAGCTTCTCTATAATCTTTCCATGTACCCCCTAGCAGCTAGAGAAGTAGTTATCCTCATGGGGTACTAGTACCCCTGGTTGCAAATCACTGATAGTTGTTTTTTTATCTTATTACTGACATTCCTGGATGTTTGCTACTGATTTGTAGGCCCACCTGCGCGAGGTGTCAGCCTGCAGCTTGAATTATGCTTCCTTGCTGTCAAGCGTTCTCATTGCTTGGTGAGTAACTTGGAATACATCTGATCCGAGCTGCTGTCAAACACCCGATGAAGCTGTGTGTCTTCCTGTGTGTTTGTGGTTTCCACTTGAAAGACAGTCCACTGTCACAGACTTCAGTCTCACACCAGTAAACGCCATGCAGCTCAGATACCAGAACACTCCCAGCTAATGTTCATCAGACTGACATTGCTTGAAAATATGGCCAGTCAAAAAAAAAAGAACTGGATGGGCTCATATCTATCCACAGGGAATTAAAAAAGCATTTCTGAAGGGAGAAGTGAAAGGTTTTTGCAGCACTCTGACTACATATGGTATAATTATCTTGTCCTCAACAGTGCCGCCAGGAATGATAGATAAAAGATTCAACTATTATTGCACCCTCTCCTCATTTCCTTGAACTACTTTTGATCTTTTCAGTAGTTTTGGCAAAGAAACGCGTAATATTGGCTGTTTAATCAAGTTAAGCTCGGACTTGAAGCTCCTCTTTCAATTTACTCTCCTCAGGTGAACTGGTTACAGCAGTTATTGTGCATCAACTCTTACATTTGGTTATATGAAAAAGGTGTAGGGAATCTAACTTGGTGGTATTTTTTTCTTATTCCCACTGTTAACACGTTAACTAACACAGATGACACAACCTTGTATCGAGATATTTCTTCTGCAGCTTTAATGGTTTTTTTGGTAAGTGGTCTGAAGTTTTTCACAACTAGCTACACTTGAGACTTGTCAGCTCTGTATGGCAGTACAGTGAAGCATTAGCCCATAATACAATGGAGCCACAACGTGTTTGAAGTGCAACCTTTTTTTTTCTCAGGCCTGGAGAAATCTGCTTTTTCTAATAATTTCTCTGGAAGAAACTAATTATTCCCCTTCCCTGGGAGTTGTTGAAACATGTAGAAAATCACAACCAAGAGCAGAAGTTAAAAGAAACTGAACGTTGGCCGGTGGAATATGGCTGAAATCAAGACCTCAATGTCTGATATTGATTTGGGCAAATCACAATATGGCAAATGTATGAAAAAGCAAACAAAATCAGTACTACTTAAATGCACTTAAATAACAGACGGATGACATTAACAAGTATAATTTTCTGCTTTATGTGTAGGAGGTTAGCAGCTAGCAGCAGAACCAGGCTTACACTGAACAGCACCAAGGTGATAATGTGTAAAACTGAACAAACAGCGAAGCAGTGCTCAAAAATCCATGCTCACCCTTGCATAAATAAGACATGAGAATGTGACTTACGCTATGTACTGCTCTGTTTTGTTGAATTTCTTGGCAAGGTACTTGGCTGATGCTTTGCTGGGTATCTTGACAAAGGACATCTCTTTACCATAGCGCGTCATGTTGCACGGCGTCTCGCACACACAGTAGTCATTGTCTCTCTCGACAAGAAAGTCTAAAAAGTAAAGTCGACAGAAAGAGAGGGGGGGGGGATAGAGAGATCGAAAGAGAGAAGACACAGGGACAGAAAGATGTAATGTCACCCCGGGATGACAAACAAAATGCCAGCAGAGTGAAACGCGTCAAAGAAAATTTATGAAAAGAAGCCGTGAGGAGACACCCCAGAGACCCTTATAAGACACACAAAAGATATAAGACAGACGCCGACAGTGTCAGCGAGACAGCAGCAGCCAGAGGCCGACACGTGATGCTGTGTCATGAAAGAGCAAGAGATTGCAAGTCAATAAGAAAACAAGCAACAGACATGAAAGGCCTGAAAGGTATCAGTTGATGGAGAGACAGGGGAGTCTGAAAAGGAGAGCCTCAGCGCCTGGCCTGAGGTTTACTATTTGAGAATGGCTACCATCAGGCTGAAGGAACACTATTATCTGTTATCAGCTTGGATCAGGGGCTCTGAACAGTGGGATATACACATTGAACAATGTATACACACACAACAATGCACACACACACACACACACACACACACACACACACACACACACACACACACACACACACACAGCATGCTGGGTTATCTCCTTACCCAAGGCAGGATCTGCACACTCCTTGTACTGCTCCGGGGTGCAGTATGGGGCATCTCCTAAGGACAGTCAGAAGAAACACAATGTTCTCAGTCTGAACAAAAAAGAGGAGAGCACAAAGGATGACAAGATCTGGGCTTATAATTAATTTTGTCTCAGGCTGTCATTACTGTCCTTATCGCGACTGGATATTCTTTGCAAATCTGATCTCATCTCGTAATTGATTTCATTAACTTTTGTAACTTTCGCTGCCTCTCATCGTCACTTTCAGTCTCTGTCACCCGTCTCTCCAGCACCCTCTCAATCTTGCTCTGCCTGGCAGTCGAGCCACCCCTCTCCCTCTCTCGGGGGAAAAAAAAAGACATGTCCCAGATGTAGAGGAAATGATTTCCCAGCTGCAATTATTCACTGCATTTTGGTTCATACTCTTTAAAAAAAAATCACTCTAATGACAGGGAGATAGGAGAGATGAATAGCAGCAGAGAACAATTCGCAGGGCAGAGGATTTTAACTGGGGAGTTCTCTGTAGACTCACATTAATCAACTGCACAATCACTATAAGATAGCAGCTAATCCTGATTATCACATAGACAGATTGTCTGGCTCTTAATATGCAAACACAGAGCTGAAAGTGACCCTGATTGAGAGAGAGCCATTAACAATTATTGGATAGGTGAGTGCGGGTTAACGGAGGCCAAATCCAAATGTTTCCTCTGTGCCAAACTCCTTTTCAATTTGCCGTCTGAGATGCCACACAGTGATTAAATGCAGGAGGTAGACAGCAAATGCCAGCTGTAATCACTGCACAAACACAAAGTGAAAATAGTTGAGTTTTCCGATTCACTGGTCTGTGAAAGTATCTGATTTTCTGCAGTCGCTCGCAAAAAGCAGTTTGTTCCTCCAGGATCGTTTTTGTCACCATGATTTCAAATGAAAGCACTTCCAACCACGACAACAGACACTATAACATCTACATCTTTATAAGTAAATGTAGATATACGGTATTTGTATCAATGAGGTGCCCTTCTGTTTCCTACCAGGCATGTGAACCATCCTACAATTGCAGTTCTCCACCAGGTATCGTGTCTCACAGTCAATTCGGCAGGCTGTGATGCTGTAAGTGCTAAAGAAGTCTGAGTCCATCGGCGTGGCCTTGCAGTCCCCCCATGGCGGAGGCAGGTATGTCAGCTGGGAGGGAGAGAGAAGCAACAGTGCAGAACCACTTTAGCATTAGAGCGTACTGTCGACATCCCCTCCTGTGCCGTGTTAATGCTTCATTTGACCTTGTACTTTCTGTCAATATAGCGATAAACTTGTTAGTCTCTCTATATGAAAAGCCACTGCACATTTATTGAATTTGGCACAGAAAATGAATCTCGTTTCCTTCTCTGTGATGAATACATGTGCATAATGGTCCTTACTGTGGGAGCTTCTCTCCTACGCTTCTCCTATTCCTATTCTCCCTCTGCGCTTTCATTGTACTGCCCACTCTTCATGCAGGAGCTGAATAGTATCAGCTGTGTAGTTCAGCTGTGATGTTGTAAGTTTCACTATAAACAGCTTTGCTGCAGGACAAAGTGTGGTACCATGTTCCTTCTGTTTATGTCCATATGTCCTTACACAAATGTACATTTTCTAAATATCCACTGTATGTAGACATATAGACATCTCCGTCCAACACAGCGAGACTCAGCAAAAGAGCTTACTTTTTGATTAACTAATTTCTTTATCCTTTTTTTTATTTGTTTCTAGTATATTTTAAATAGAATAATTGACGGTACCAGGGACAAAGCGAACTAAGACTTTCATTGCATTGATAACTTGTTTATTTTTGCATATGACAATAAAGCTTTTAAATCATTTGAACTCTTGAATGGCAAACTAAGTCATTTTCATAAATAAATCATGTGTATATAGAATTCCAGATAATGTTGAAAATGCCCATCACAATTGATATATTCATATCTGAGAAGCTGATACCAAAGTTGCTCAACTAATTGATCAATTCACCATTTTTTTCAGCTTTTGATAAATAAAACAAAAAAAAATCTTGAAGCTTGTGCATACTTTTTTTGTCTAGTTTTTACAAATTTAAGCACATATAATAACATGGTATAAAGCATTTGAGGCCTATTTAGGCAGCATATATACAGAGAACGAATAAATCATCAACAAAAAAATTATAAAAGTCTAGGACAGAAAACCAGAACATTCCAAATACTCAGGAAAAATAAATAAATACATATAAAGATGAGATAATCATAAGCACATTTGCTTGACCACGGAGATCACAACTCTAGGTTCCACTATTCCCTTGGCCTCCTTAGCCTTAGAGAATCACAATGAGAGGCAAAAGGGATAAAAATAGAAACACTAAAAAGAAAACAACTGAATGAAGAATTAATGCAACAACTGGGATGTATGCAGTGCGACAGATGTGAATATATCTCCTATGAAACAAGCCCCAACAAATCTTGTTTATACTCGAGGTTGTATCATACTGAACTCCCTCCAGCAGAATGTATTTTCACATATTTGCATATCATATTAAAATATTAGCCATATTAATTTACATTTCATCTGCCTTAAAAAATAAGGGCAAAATGTGATGCATTAAATGAAGTAGCAAGCTATAAAACAGCCCCTGTGTGTCTCCGTCTCATCAGTTCAAACAGTGCATCACTGAGTGCTCACACAGCAATAAATTAAAGGCCACTGTTATGATTTAGGGACCTGCCTTTTACAATTTGTACTGGAGAGCAGGAGGCAGCCACGTGTGTCATGCACTGGATTTGGTTACTAATAACCCAAGGCGATGTTCAACATGAACACACACGTGCATACAAGTACAGCACAGTGAAGACAACCAGATAGCTCTGACTAAAATCTTATCCAGAAACTAGAATGATTCCTCTGCTTATTTTCACATCAAGGACGTTTGACAAAGTCAAACAGAACATAAAAACCATTAGAGCTGGGTAAAATGTCAATCAATCTTAGGTGGTTGTGTATTTATTCTCCTCATCATAAGGACTAGACCCACTGTCAGAGCCATAAGAATGGCTAATGGCTCACAGTACGGCTCTTTCGATTTCTCTGCATTTTCAAAAGCTCCACTCAGCCATCCTAAACCACCTTGAGGCAGCATTACTTCCGATTGGTTAAACCTAAAGTGTAGACAAAGGTGAATCTGGCGTAAGAGATTTCATAAGAGTTTAGTGGTGCTGATAGATGTTTAACAACCATGAAGAAGAATAGAAATCATGTTAAGACTCTGACCTCAATTCCCTGCTCATTAACTGAGTGAGAGAGAGAGTAAACAAAAAGGGTAAGGGGTAGAAAAAAGAAAGGCGAGAGTCAGCAAGACTCGGTGGACAGCAAAAGAGGAGGATGGAGGCAAAGTGGGTGAAGAAACACTGTGAGGTTTTTGTTATTCATGTTGAGTAGAGGGATATTGCAGATTTTCCTTTTGTGGGATCACAGTGATTGACAGTTTGTCCAACTGAAAAGACCCCAACAGTTTTACACTACAGGACTGCTGAAGCAGGGAGTTGAATCACTGTGAGCAAACTGCATTAGATTAATGAAGACTGAGCCTGCCAGCCAATGAAATAAATAAATAAATACATAGAGAGAGAAAGAGAGAGCAAGAGAGAGGAATCATATTAAAAAGAGAGGAACTGTATTAGAGGAATTGTAATGACTGTTGGAGAGGAAAAAAGTAAGAGAGCTAGTGAGAAATAGAGAAAAACAAAGAGGGACAGTTTCCTGCAGACGCGACATTGGCAGCATGCAAAATCCTGCTGCAGCCCACCGACACTGGAACACACTCACTGGTAGGGTGGACGTGGAAGGACTGAGATCACTCCCGAATCCATCCCTTTCTCTCCTCCATTCATTATGCATGGTTCTGTACCATATTAGGGCCCAGAGTTTATGATTTGTCAGGCTGTACGCTCACCATCACACCCACAGAATAATTCACACTGGAATAACTTACACACACTTTGTTTCACCGAGCTTCCAGAAGCCGATCTGGGGAAAATGTGTGTTGCTGTAATAATGTCAAGACCCCAAGTAGGTGACTGCACAAGGGCCTAAGATCTCCAAGGGACCTACAATTATGAACGGTGCCTTCAATTGCACTGTGGGATTGGTAAATATGAAGTAAATGTCAGCTTCCATCATTTCAAAGGAGAGTAAAAAGTATATGACTGTCACATTATTGATGGGTCTGTGGCAGACTTTTTGCCTTCTTTGTGAAACACAGGATTGATTCCCAGCCAAGATAATGTTTTTAACCGCCTTTGTGTGAAAGCAGAATAGCATTTGTCCTTCAAAACACAGCACACTGCTGATAGTGCAGTGTTTACCATGTGGGACGCCTCATTTCAACTCCCTAGGGTCCAACAGAAGCCTTGAACACGGCCAGTGACAAATATGTTACTTTCCTCAATCACTCAAGTGGCTCAATCACTGGGGCACATGCACGACTGTGAATACTCAGATTGAGGAAACATTTTGTTTAGTGGTGGAAGAAGCATTCAGATCATTTTCTAAACAACAACATCAAAATGTACACAAAGTATCAAAAGTAAAAGTAGTTGTTCTGCAGCGAAAATACAGATTATTGTATTTTACAGATAAGATTGTTAATACTGATGCAATGATGTGCAAGGAGCATTTCACTGTTGTAGCTGGTTGAGTTGGAGCAAGTTTTAAATACAAGACTAAACTACTTAATGGGGTATTTAGCTAGTTTAGTCCAGTGGTTCCCAAACCATGGGTTTTGACCCCTTCCAAAGGGTTTAGATAAATCTGAGGGGTTGTGAGATGAGGAAGGAGAGGAAAGGAAAAAAAAGTTTTTCATTATTGAACTTTTCTATAATCTTAGATTTTTGTGAAATATTAGATAATTTTACCCCTTTGGACCCAGAAACAGTTATCTAAATCAGTGGTTGGTTCTAAAACTTATTTTATTAATGTGCTCCTGTTGAAATATTTTCTTGACCAGCAAATAACATTTTTGATAGAAAAAAAAAGCCTTTTTAAAGAGGTACAATACAGCGCTGCAACATCAATGCTATCAAAAAAAGTAAATGTTTCATTTCAAATGTTTAGAATCCATCACTGAAGTCATGGCCATTTTTTGTCATCATGCAATAACACTAAGATGGGATTGTAGTTGCATTGAACTGTGTCTTTTTGATGAGTTGCACTTACTGAGAAACATCTTTGATCTTTGTCATCTTTGTTATTCTTGGTGTCAGGGAGGCAACCGCAGTGATCAAACTCTTTTACAGATGTTTTGCTGCAGCTGACAGTTTACGGTAGTTAATGATTACATTGAAAACAGGAATACTGAATGTAGTTTATTAAACTTACATTTACATTTGTTATTGAACTTATGATTATTTTAGGAATTAAGCATGACTAATAAAAAAAAAGAAAAGTCACATACCCTCTGCAGTACTCCAAAGTAACCCTATTGACTAAGTACTCCCATTTGAGAAACATTGATCTTAACGAAACCACCAGAGAAGTTTGGAGAGGAACTGCTAACAACTCATAGACATGTGTAACGTAACTAGGGGTACCATCTCCACTGTGGAGGTGGGCGTGGTTCACATTCAGCTGCAGGAGGGAGTGAGGTGTGGAGATCTCTTTCTTTTTAAATGCACTAGCATGCTGGACACACCAGCACATTTGCATTGGGTGCTGGGATTATTCTTTCTTGGACTGCGGAGAAGGGCTACAGAAGCCAAGCAAAGACACTTAGAAGCTGAGTATTTATGTTGAATGTGTGTGCAGCCAGAAAATGAAGAGCTTTTTGTTTGTGAAAGGTCTGTCGTGCTTGGTTGTGTGCTGGGGGAATGCACAGTGGCAGAGAGACTTGCGTGATCACAAGCATCTTTAACAGTGCATTGTGTTTTATAAGCTTATCATTTGTTCTTAAAAGTCTGAAAAGTAGTTACTAACTACAGCTCTCACACAAATGTAGTGGAGTAAAACATACAATATTTGCTTCTGAAATTTAGTGAGGCAGAATGAAAAAGTGGCATAAAATAGAAATACTCAAATAAAGTACAAGTGCCTCAAGGTTGTACAGTAATTGAGTAAATGTACCTAGTTTTTTCATTGTTATCAGTATTGCATTCTCCTAACCTGCCTTTACTGAATATCAGTTGGATTATCAGGTTAATGTTTGGAAATGTTTTCATTTCAGCCCATCTTGTTGTATGGACTACTTGTTATATGAAAACTGGGTCGGTGTCAGGGCCATGTTGCGGTCTATGTACAGTAAATACACTGTGTGTTCTCTCTTTGGCAACCATGCAGTCTGTGTGTGGAGCAGAGAGTTGGGTGATAGGTCTTAGTGGTTTCAGCAGTAGCCACTTCAGATTATAGGGGGTCATTAGATTTAATATTCATACAAAAATATCACTTAATGGAGCTTTAAATATGTTCAGAATGTCTCCCATTTGCCTTGACAATGTTAAACTCACAGAGAGGAGTTTCTGATAAGCTCACTGACTGAACAGCTTGTGCTCATTGTTTAAATTTCAGATGATTGAGATACTGACTGGCCTGTGAAATTTCAGTAAAGCTCTCAGTCTGCTGTGGAGTGATTGGGAGGGGGGGGTCAGACAAGGGCAGGGCCATCAGGAGTGCCTCAGAAAGATCCTCCAGATGGTTGTGGATCAAGGGGAGTGAACAGTGAGTGCTACTGGGATATAGGCCAGGGCTTGATCAACCATGGCAGGGTCACCCGGACCATGCAGGATGTCTGATGTTGAAAGCCCCAAAACACTCCCAATGATCCCAGTATATATCACTGATGCATTAGGCAGTGTATGAGTGGATGTATGCCAAGGTGTTTACAAGACAATTTTCAAGTGAAATTTAAAGTGTAAACAGATTTTGCCAAACAGATTGTGGGAGAGAAATTAAATTTGAAGCTGTCAGAGTGAAAACTGAATTTGACATTGAATTTTTTTAAGTAAGTTTTATAAAGCTTTCTAAATCAATAGAAAGGCTACATGGACTGAAGTAGACTATATTACAAAACAACAACAAAAATAAAACAGGAAAATCATTATTCGGACAAGCCACACTGACTTACACACATGCACTGTTTTAGGAAAATGTATGATTTTGTAAATACTAACAGTACTTAATACATACATATATACTGCCAGACAAAAGACAAAATACTTCAAAAATATCCAAATTATTCAGTTGTGAATATCACATCCTCTTGGCAGTTTTATATTGTCAAGACCTGATTGAAAGCCATAAGAAGGATTGTCATTGCTATGCCGATGACAAACAGCTTTATGTGCATATTTGATGATACATTTGAAAACTTGGCTGCCTCCATTAAGTCTCGTGTCAGAAGAGGTATAATTACTTTGAAATCACACCATGCTCCAGCATATATTTGAGGGCTATTGTGACCATGTGTACCTGCACTTTATGTCAGATCTTGCAACAAAACTAAAAGCTAGTGGTCCCCCAATCTAGACTTACAACATAAAGGAGACTGTGTATTTGTTGTCAGGGACCCAGAACTCTAAAACACCCTTCTTGTTGAAATTAATCCTCAGTGAAAACCATTTTAAACTTGGATTTCTGCACGTTGTGGTGTTGTTTTGAAAAAAGCCATATAAATAATACGTTATTATTCTTATTACTGAAACTGGAGTGGCTCATTTTATGTTTGCATCCTTGACAGTGCACAAGATTATTTGATTTACAGCTCTTCATCAAAAATCAGATTAAAAGGCCGAAATTAACTTACAGATTTTCCCTGTTAAAATGTGCTGAGATATATGTATTTCATGTCTTTCCCAAGACGTACCCGTTGTTCCTGACAGGAGACAAAGGTCTGAAACCCTGGCGCCACTCCAAAGCCCAGCTGGTCTATGAACGGCGGCTCGTCCTGGGTGTGGATCTGAACTTTGATCCCTGCTTCGAACGATGTCTCGTCTGTTGACAAGAAGAGGTTAGGACATTTACAACAGGGATGATGATTTATATTCACACATTGGCATGCATGATTTACCCAGCAGCAGTTGTTACTAATCAAATGGAGAACAGGCATTGCAGTAGTGGAATATGTTTCAGCCAGTAAGTGAAAAACAAGTCCGAAAAAATATAATTAAGTCGTAGTCTTATTTGAACAAGAAAGAACAATTACTTGGGGGTAATTGCTTATTCATTAGTTTTACCTATGGACCTCCAGGGATGACAAATACATGGTCTTTAAGGAGTTAACAATAGGTGGAATGAGGAATGAAAGGATAAAGAAGATGGACTTCCTAAGTAGGTGGTTGATGACAATATGTCCCCACAGGAGTCTTATTTACTGCAGAGGGAAATGAGAGTGAATGGATAAATTAATAAATAAATGATGATGAGGATAAAAGGAAAATCAATACAGCTGACAGCTTCCTTTGCTACAGCACTCTGCTGTATAGATTTTAAATGAAGCAGATGGCCTCTTTGATACTGAGATCAGGGGAACATCACAATGACATGGTGACTCAAACCTATAGTTGTGCAAACATATTTCTATCACATTTGCAGAGGCCTGGTACTGCTTATCATGGTGATGGCAGGCTGGATTCAAGAGATTTAGTTCCTTTGAGAGCTGGCTCGGGGATAAAGTACGATGTCTGTTTCCTGCCGCCTTTCCTCCCCGCTTGTCACTTGGTATCGTCTTCTAAGTGCCAGGCTTTCTCACTATTTTCAATTAAAGAGCTCAGGGATGCGGCTGGAATTCAGCAAGAGAGCTTCGACAATGAGCGACAGACTTTAACTGTTACACATTGCTCTTCTGAGACTGGATACAAAGCCATTTTCTGCTGTTGCCAAGACAAATGCTCGAGGCTTGAAGCTGCACATATACATAAGTTGTGCCCAAGCTCCTGCTCGCAAAATTGTTTGTCATCTTTAAGTCATGGCCATCTGTCATCCAATTGGAATAATATTTGGACTAAACCTTGAAATGAAACAGAACCTTGATCATACTTGACACTACACAAGGATGTTCAGCTGCCTCAAAGTTATTTCACTGGCCTTGTTTGTTGTGGAATAATTTCAGGTATGCAACAATTACACAGAACATTTCTTAACAAAACAGTCGCCATGACCTTGAGACATACTAGAAGCTATGGTTTTAAGCTTATTGGTTAAAACTGTGGAGAATCTCATTTTATAAATCTACATCATCACACTTGCCCAATCACATTTTCTTGGATTTCTCTTTTTCATCATCATGCTAAGCTCTCTTGGTATTATTCAATGAGGACAGGGCCTCAGTGGTTGCCACTGTTGGATGACAGCATAAAGGGTTTGACGTGCCCAGTAGTATTGTTTTTGAGAGGAGTTTGCATGTTCTCCCTGAGCTAATTTCTTTGTTTTGTACCACCTTGTCTCCTTCCTCCTCCCCAGGGAGCACGAAGCAGGATTTTAACGTTGATTCCTAGTTGAGCTATATACACAGTACATAGCATAAAAGTATAGTCTAATCTCATCTTGAAGGGTGTCTTAATTCCTAGAAAATGCATCTTGAGGAGAGAGGAGCCAGGACTGAGGAGGCTTGCCAGAGGAGCGCAGGTCTATCCTCCCTCCTGTGGAAATCTTTTCAGCACCCATGACGTATAAAAGAAGTGTTGACAGATTGATGCAGCTGTGTCACACAACATATTAATTAACTGATTGACATTGCTTTAGAAAGATGTCTCATTTTGTTAAATGCCTGTTGAGGCAACAATCTTTGTGCCTCTTCCTTGCTTCCTCTGCTTGCACCTCAGGTGGGAGGGTCGAAGGTGTGAGGAAAGGAATCAAGGATGCACACATTGTGAAATGAGAAGACAGGCCTGTGTCTGCTTGGGTTGCTCCCAATTCCTCTCACAGTCCAAAGATATGAAGGTCAGTTGAAGTAAAAACTCTAAATTATTATTAGTGTACATGTTTTAGACTGACATTTTCCTAGACTGTGCATACTCAGTTTTGTACTTAGACATTGTGTAGATTAATTTCTTTCCATAGAATTTGTTTTATCAATTTTACCAACAAACCTTTAGTTGTACACATTTTAAATTACAGACACACAAACTCTACTCTCAACCACATAATAATGAATAGATTGTTTGAAGATTTTCCATTTTTATTTAGAAAACAAATGAATCGCTTCTCTCAGTGATATTATCCCTTTAATGCCTCTATTCCCAGGTTTCTCTTTTACTGCATCACTAAGCACATATAAGAGATCAAGAGGATCTGTTAATGACATTCAATTGCAAAACATGTTACGTTTTGGTGCCATTAATTTTAATTGTTTTAACTAAGCCAGGTATATTTTCTGTTCTCTGTACTAGTATCCAATTATGTAGCTTCCAATATCTATTTTGCCTACTGCAAATCATGATTTGTCAACCGCCTGTCTCAACACTGTATGTTTATTCTACTGTGGTAATATCAGGTTCATTAATTGAGAGAAAGTTCAACATTGTACAGTATACAGGTTAACAACAAAAACATATTTTTGTGCCCACATTTTTACATAGATGGGAGACCTTGACGACACCATGTCACTCATGGTCGCACTACATTCTCTTATAATAACAACTTATAGCAACCAATTAAGCGTGTTAATAATGTAAATGTTGTAGAACACATTGTAACAAAAATAACACCAGTATCAATGTAGGAAAGCACATAAAATGAGACTTATGTCCAAAAATGTCCACAACAAGTAACTACATTAAGGTTACTAGGACTTTCAGAGGGAAGTGCTGAGTATATTTGATGGATAATATGTTAGATGGATAAATACGTGAGTTTTTATCATGTTCATTGTGTGAAGTTGTGCGTGTACATGTTTGATAAATACCAATTTTCTTGTTCTGAGGGACAGATCCTACGCACACATTCAGAACTTGCATGTGTTGATAAATAAGGCCTCAGGTGTTTGAACTGGCACATTATGCACTGCAGGGCATCCAGCCAGATTAAACAAACAGGTAATGAATGCTGTTATAATAGGACTAATCAATGGCTTATCTGTATCATTTTGGGCATTAATGACAAAAGGTTCAGGTCTTTGGAAAAACAATCAAAGTTTGATATTCAAGGAAACTGTGGTTAAGACAATAGTATCTTGTTTTGGTAATTTCCACTGCTTTACAGTGCAAACTTTTAACAAGAATTAGTGTAATATTGAGCATTACCAGCAAAATAAATTGAAAACTGCAAATCAATCATCTCGAAACAAAAAATAAATAAATAATGTGATTTGTGTGATTTGTTAATAAGTTCAGTACAGAAAGTGACTCTGACAATAATATAAACAATCATGAAATAACAGTAAAATAAACAGAATAATGAAGATTATGAGAACAAAGTAAATGACTGTGTATGTATTGTAGTTACTGCATCCTAAGGTTTCCACCAAATCCCCTCTTGTAAAAGTCTTTAATCATTTAATAATCTTACATAAAGAGCATTATATATTAATAATATTAAATCATTTAGGCTTTGAGCAGATGAAACTTTACATTTAAATATTATAGTCACATCACAGCTTATCGCTTTGTGCTCCATGTTTAATGCGTATCGTGAGCACAGTCTTTTTGTGACCATAGTGAACTGTCTCTTTACATTCATTTCTCAGTGCATATAAAATATTGATGCAAACTCACAGCAACATATGCAGCTGCATTAAAATCAGAGTTTCAGGGTCTCCTGGAGCAACACAGAGGAGACTCAACTGTGTTGATGAGGGGTCGGCCCTGAATGGAAGAGCCTATAGCCTCCATTGATTTTATATCTGGCAAATGGCTCTGCCCTTGTTTGATTCATGTGGACTTGAAGCCTAACTGACAAGTGATGCAATTATATTACAATGAAATAAAATTTTCCAGATCAATATCCATCTGTCTTTATACAGATTAGTCGATAATATTCTGTGGACAAAGCAAGTGCATTTCAAATGATCAGAGGAGGCATTTTTCAGGATCATTACTCATAATTAATGGAAGTGTTCAGGTGGATAACTTTGCTATATAGATAAACCTAATTTGGACCTATTTGGTGTAGTACAAGTATGCACATTTTCACTATCCATAATGGATTTAGAGTTTTACAATTACATCAAAAGTCCTCTTAAGGAATGCACTATAACCTAGTCGGGCCTCTATCTAAGGGATTAGAGAAGAACCCTGTGATAGATTTCTTAGAGCATCAACACTAAAAATAACTGGCTACTTTGGTGTTTAGTTGATTAAAAGATCTCTTTTTCACTCGCTCAAGGGCAAACATAAACACCAATTTTGTGTTTTTTGCTGAGATCTTCAGAACTGGGAATTGGGTGTTTCATGTTATGTATCCTCCAGATAAGCTTACCAGTTTCTCCCCATACAGGCAAGTATTCATCCTGTTGGATATCCAGCATCAGCTCCAGGCCGTTGCCCATCCCACCCTTCATTGTCACCATGAGGGGTCGTCCATCTTGGCCTGAATTAAAGGTGTAGCACTTCCCATAGCGTGTGAATATCTAAAATACACAAAGAGACAAATACAGGGATTTTAGTGGTATGTGGACACAACAGGGTAGCCAGAAAGACTGAGCATTTAAATTTAGTTCTGACCCTGAAGTAAGATTTTAGTTTGCAGCTGTGTGTGTTTGTGAAGTGGACATAAAGGTAGTGCCAATCAGGGGATTGTTTTAAAAGCAGCTGAAAAGCACCTACAGTAACCTGTTCTTGTTGGACTGTCAGCAGCAGACCTCGGAGGTCTTTGTGTTGAGATGCTGTTGACAATCGGAGCCCTCACCCCTCTCAGTGCTGCATGATACAGTATGTGCTTGAGTGAATATGACATGACTTTTATTTCAGAGTGGGATATCCTGTCCCTGAGAAATCTCACACACACAACAACAACAATGACTGCCGGCATCATAGTAAATACTGCATGAAGTGAAACGTTCTCCAGATACAGGCTGTTAACGTTTCCGAGAATGTAACAACTTTAGATAAGTAGTGACTATCCGTTGTCATGTGATTAGCTTAAACAATTAGGCAACTGATGAATCTGTTGTTTGAGAGAAAATCAAACGGCAGCTATTTTGATAATTGTCATTTTTTTAAAGCAAAAGTGCCATAAATTCACTGGTTCAGCTTCTTAAATGTTAGAATTGTTGGCATTTCTTCCCTATATAACAGTAAACTGAATTATTATTATTATAATAATATTTTTTCTATTGGTCAGATAAAACAAGCAATGTGAATATGTGACCATGGGCTGTTGGAAATTAAAATGGTAACTGTTTTATTAATTTGAGACTGGATTTACACATACATTACATTATTTACTTCTGCCAGTTATTTTTAAGAGTAATTAACTAGTCCGTAAAAATGACGTGTATGCCCACCACATACCCAAGTCCTGAATCTAAAAATATTCAGCTTACAAAACCAGCAAATATTCACTTTTAAGAAGCTGGAACCAATTAATTTTTGGCACTTTTGATTAAAATTGTTTCAGCTCTAATCAAGTGATCACTGAGTGCACTCTTACTCTCTCCCCACTGGATTCAAAGTATCTTGCAAAAAAGGAGGCCAGATCAAGCGAGCTCGACATGCTGCAGTTCCACTTTTATCTCCACAGTATGACACACAAATCTGCAGATGCAACTTGGAGTTCAATCAACATGTTGCAGTCTCGTCAAATCCTAACCATAACCTGTCCTCGGATTAGATGCCTAGAATTTGCTCTGTCTCATTAGTTGATCGGGCATGTACAGTAGCATCTGCTGGAAAGCTTCTATAGAGCGCAGCAGGCAACTTTGACCTATTGGCAAAGACATGATTACCAGTGAACTAATGGATGCATAATTGAATCATAGACATTAGGAAATGGAAAGCTATGGCCATGATCCAAAATAAAAGGTTCCTCCCTCTCCCTTTGTTGTCAAGGCCCTGTTTTAAAGCATCCTAGCTCACAATTAACTTATCATTAACCTTCAACATTTTGACATTCATATGAGGAAATACTAAAAGGAAGTGGAGGAGGCGGAGAAGAGGAGAGGAGATGTAATAACTGAAAAAAGTCTTCTCCTTTTTGTCCTCCACTCTTTGTCTATATTCGGTACTCACAACATACAATAGAGATAAGGCTTCATTGTAAGATAGCTGTCCAAATAACTACATCACAACACAGACAGTTTGTACAAAAAGACTTTTTTTTTTTGCTTAGAGTGCCTAAAGATGTTGAAGCTTTATTTCTTGTGAATGTATTGTGAGGACTTTGGGAACACACAAGGAGGCGTATTACATGGTTGACTTATGAGTCAGACATTAGCACTTTATGACAAATTACTCAAATGTCACAAACACCAGATGCATAGAGCCGAAAATATTGCAGCCATGTTTCATAAAGGAAAAGTTAGTATAATGTGAATCCTGTTCAGTGAAGTGTGTGGCAAAGAATGGAGCGTGGATCACAATGGATTGCCTCCCAGGGTGCGGTTATATGGGAGCTTCTAAGACACAAACTGGTGAAATGTAATAAAAAGCCTTCAGATATTAGGACACAATATGAAATGTGACCTTTCAAGTGCATAAGTGGCAGAACTGAGTCAAAAGCAGAGTCTGCAACGCCCGCCTATGTGCCGTGACTCTAGAGCAGGATACAAACATCAATAAAATGCCCCTGAAATCCATCTTAGTCCTGGAGTCGCCTCTCACCATAATCAGATCACTGTTTATCTTTACTCTTTGGAATATAAGGCAGAGAAATCTTATGATATCATGGCACCAGCTGCACAAAATATTTGACATTAAGAAAAGGTAAAACCTGCAGAAAATAAGGTCTTTGCTTTTAGCCTGAGACTTTTATAAGCACAGATTTTTCCCACAAGACCTTGCAACAGCCAAACAAGACACATTTTACTTAAAAATCTGAATCCAACCAATTTGTTACGGCAATCTTTATCTAATGTTTTACCCGTTTACCAGCTTTAGGAGACAAGTTTGAACATTCAGAGAAAGAGGCAATGCTGCTCACAATGAAAAGGGAAAAGCATTTGACAGATAAACATCAAGAAAACACTGATAAGATTGTTTGTGATTGTGTGGAAGTGTGCACGTCTGCACATGCCCGAGCGTGCATGCTTACTCGGGGCGTGCGTGTACAGTATTTGTGTGAATGTGCGCAGCCACCCCTGCCTGCCATCTGTGTGTATGTGTTGATAACGTAGTAATTGACTACAGGAGGCCTAGTCAGAGTTGCTGTGGTAACCAGGAGATTGTGATGGCTGCATTGAGTGAAGAGCAGCAGCAGTGGGTGCCTGTGGTGACCTTGGGGAGTCAGGATCTTCATTGTGTTCTGTATGTTTGAGGTTTGTGCTTCTTCATGTTTGTCTATCGAACAGCCAGTCTGTCTTATTCAATGTTGTTGGAAGTGTAACATTTCCCAAATGCTTCCCAATAATTCCGCAGGAGCTAGTGCAGCCTTTTACCAGAGGCAGAAACCCCATCAATGCTAAAACAAAACCTTAATATTTAAATGAAAACTTGAAAAACTGAGCGGAGCAATCAGGGTAGTATTCAGGGCTCTACACAGTGATAGACATTTGAAACTTTTTGCTACTAACGGTATAGCTCAAATAAATGTGGCATTGGGGGGAGCAAAGACTTTGATGCCTAAGCAGCTTTTCTGAAGAGACAAATCCGGTATTAGATTTGGTTCTTACACTGCTAAATACTGAGACCTATACATTGCATTTAAAATGAGAACCACTGTGTCATCCAAACTTGTAAACAAGGAAATTAAATATTTAAATCGACCCCACCTATGAGGAAAAACACTGAGAGAGACATCACCCTCTCTTGTTCTCGCAGGGTGTAGAAATGTCACCATCTCTCTCTTCGATAAATAATTCACAGACAGACAGCCCGAGACTGTTGAGATGGCCCTCGGCTATCCTTCACATGACAATGTGACAAGGATGCACAAGCTGTTCCCTAAAGTTGCCAGGGAACCACTTTCCCCCCTCTCCATCAGAGCTGAGCACAGAGGTGCTATGTGTTAAAAACACAAACCTATGAAAGATTGCCTGGCTTTTACTTGGCACTGAATCAACTCAGCTAAAAATAGAATCTGCTGATATTCTGACTGTATTATATGTAATTAATTTATGACCAACACACATGAGCAGTGTGGCAATTTACTTTTCTGGTGTATCAACTCTGTCATTGTACTTCATCTGTGTAGGGAGGGAGTGCTGAACAATACAGTGGACATCTTATGATATACTACAATCCAATTCAACTCCACAAGCAAAACATGTACTACACATTTGCATCAACACTTTAAACCCACCCTCAATAAATCTGAACATTATTGTAATTCTCAAATCTCACCTCAAGGTCCTTTCAGAAGTTGTTTTGGTGCTTTTATGAATAGCACACAGAAGATGAGAATCCAGAAAAGCTACTAAAGATCAAGAATGAACTTTGAACGGTAATTCTTAAGGCAATATTATAGATGAGAAGTCCTAGAGGTGCTCAGAATCATGAGATCATAAAGTTATTAAATGAGAAAACTCAGTCTGCTGATGAGAACGGTGTAATAAAAGCTTCAGAAAAGCTAAATGGACCTTGAAGTGAGACTGTTTTGTCACCATTACAAATGTAATATTTATCGCAGGACACTGTCGGGGATTACTCTGTCCACCTGTTGTACTGCACTTTCCTAAATGCCTCTGACTACTTGTGAAAGACCAGGTGTGAGTTAAATGTGTAGGTAGAGTGAGCTGAAAGCTGGGGAATGGTGTCAGAAAGAGTCACAGGAGTCACACCTGTTATAAAATGCGTATGGTTGCATTGAATTATGGACTAATGCTGCTAGATAGTATGGGAGATTTTTGCCTTTAACGTGGTTAAATATGCACTGATTAATATTTTTTGGGGCATCTTTCAGCTCATTGTTTTGGTATTACGTGAGTGTGAGTTCACTCTCTTTTCAGACAGAGCAGGTGGCTGTTTTCAGTGAAAAAGCTCTGATATCAGAATCAACTTACTCTGCACTACCTGTCCAGCACCAAACAACAGACTGACAAAGTTAGCAACTAGCTGGTCTACACAAAGAGCTCAAACAGCCACAGAGTTGGTGGAGAGCAAAACTGAGATGAAAAGAGATTAGTGAATATTGGACACACATTTATCAGGTGGCCAGAAACCCGACTCTAAATGAACATGTGCTGTGTTAATATATGCATGTTGCTCAGTGTCCAAAACATTATTTGTCATTTGTCTGTAATGCATTACTGTTCCTAAATTTAATAATCACATTACAGTTATTAATGAAGCAATTATGTTGTTACTTGTGTTAGTTCTTTAATTATATTATACAAATATCAATGAAATTCAACACAGCAACTCTGTCTAGTTCACCTGTGGAGAGGCTCTTCAGCCTGGGCAGTCTTGTGCTGACTCTGAGGAGGAACAGGCTGTCTGACAAATGATTTGATAGACTCCTCCTCAGGAGGCAAAC